TCGTATCCTTTATATGTAATTAATGTAATTGACTAGTAGCCAAGTTTGAGAGCAAGGATAATTTGTGTACCTTTGGTCGAAATCAGTAGAGCATAAATTTACATTCTAGAAGAGATTAACGATAGTTGAGGTAGCAGAGCGGGTAATAATCTGTGCCAAGCGAAATGCGATCGAAGTCACATTTCTTCAGTTTCTTGTCCCGTTGCTTCATTTCTTGTCGATCCGCAGTTCGGCGCGGCTTCAGCGTTTTTCCCCCATAAACCTCATTTGTCGTAAAACGTAAAACATTTGCTTGTGCGCACGGGAGACCGTGAATCACGCAACGGAGCGTGGCTCGATAGGGAGAGAGGGATGGTTTCTTAAATAAATATCTCGCCGCAGAAGCACGTCGTAACCCCGTTGGTATCGGGGCACGATCGTTAACTCCCGTGGTTTACAGCCGCTGCTAACCGTGCGATCTAAAAGCTTCTTGCGGCAGTAGCAGTTCGGACTCGCTGACGCGTCGCGAGCCCGTCGTTTTGATTACGCTGCTTCTTGTTCTCGGCCGGTCTCGTAAATCGGTAACGCTCGCGGAAACGAGAAACAACTGAAACGGGGATATCGTGAATAATGAACTATCGCGGCTCACGTGTTTTAGAAAGGAGAACGCGCGTCAGTTTTTTTGACGTTGCCATCTGGTTAAGTAGTACCGTTTTCTTCGACGTTGTCAGACTTGTTACCTTCCAAACGTTCGGCACAGGATAGGTAGGTGACCTCTTCTAGTATCTTCGAAACGTACGATTCCTCGAGCGAGTGAAAGAAGAAAGCGCGTTCTCTCGGCTGTGTTTCCACTTGAGAACACGCATTTTTGTGCGCTGGATTTTTGTAACCGTTCACTTGTATGCACTTTCTTTCGATCAATTTATGAGCGTTTTCCGCTGGATCGCGGCACGGTTTCAATGCCTCTTTTGTATTCCAAGCGAAGTGCAAATCATTTTTAATGAAAGACTCGTCTTCGTCGGTTGTATGCCTGGAAATTTTCTACTTTCGACCATCCGGGAATATCTCTTCAGTATATTTTTCTTCACGTAACAAACGTGTCGCCGGTTTTTTCTTACCTGTGCCGCGCACGTTGACGTCACGTCGAGATTGCGTACAAAAATCGACGATGTGGAGTAAAACGACTCAAAGGTCAAGAACGCTCGAGAGTCGAACGACACATGCAGTGTCTGGATGTAAATGTACATTAATAATGAGTATTTCTCTTGGAAACATTTTATTATCAGTTAAAAGCTTTTTACCGATTTTATACGTGTATGCACATTAAACAGAATTTTCCTAAGGAGTTTCTTGTCTCAAATTAATGAAGATGTGTTATGTTCACTGATTTCATTATCAACTTTGCAGCTTTATTTACGACTACGTAATTGAATCGCCTAATAAATCGGATAAGAGTGTGATTTATATTTGTAAACAGATATATTAAATTTTTCCTTATCTTCGTTAATTGATAATTTTCTGGCACTTCTTTTTTCTCCTATAATTATTAATGGGATACATAATTGCTCATTTCTTATCAGAATTGCTTTACGCAATCCGGCCAAGGCCAGTTTCTGTTTGACCCTCATTGTTTCAATTTGCAGCTTGTCTACGCACGGTTAGTATATTCCACTCCGTTTTGATACTCATTAATCCTGCTATTCTGTCGCATCGTGCGTAAGCCAAGTCCATCATTTGCTTGATTGATCATTACGTCGAAAGATAATTATACCTGACGATTTATTATAAGTCATTCAGTTGTGTGAAACAAGGGCACAGTATCTTAAATACATTTGCAAATGATCTTACATCCTGCGATTGCAAATGATTTTACATCCTGTGCATTCAGTTTTTTATTTGCCAGGCAAACACGTATTGAGAACAGCATTATGCCAGATTTATTTTTTCCATTTTTAATTACTGTTTATGAGAAGATGGAGATGTTTGTAAAGAAAAGATAAGCGGATAATTATATCTCGTAGCAAAATTTGTTGTTTATTCTTCATGGATGAAAGCATGAAAAAGCGTGTCGTTAGAAAACGCAATGATAACCGACTTGTTGTTAGCAAGAATAGATCAGCACCGTTTATCGACTGTTTGCGCGAGGCCGCTGTTTACCACTGCTTTCGCGAAATGTCTCTCGGGCTTTAATCAAATCCCCTTTAACTCAATTCCACTTGGCATCGCTCAATTTTCGTTCGGTTTCCGATCCAAAAGCCTAGAATACTTAGAACCTCGTTTGGCAACGAGATTGGAGATTCACTGATCCGAGAAACTTTCAAGAAGCCACAGTGGTACTTTTTAACAATGTGCTATCCGCTGTCTCGATGAAAATTCGTGTCGAGTGAAACAGACCTGAACAGACAGCGTCAAAATCTGCACTTTTGCGGAGAACAAATGCGGTGCATTGATTTAAAGTGTGTCATTAAATCACTGAACTAGTTCTGTCTAAACGGATGGATTAAGCTAATAAAAGAAACATCGTATAACAACGTCTGTTATCCCCTGCGGAGAAAAGAAAATCCGTCGCTGTCCAAACCGCAGGCTTAGATTAGGGAACAAGAATCAGTGCAATATTGCGACTCTATTATTAAATGCTGTGCGGTTCGCGTCTATTCGTGGATACCGAAGCGGATTTACGCGAGAGGCACGTTCATTAATTACCATTCGTGACGCGGAATATCAGGCCATATATGCGCGGCGTGCATCTGGTCGCGATACAAGGTGACACGCCGTAGCCATCACCCAGGTCTCGCCGGTATTCGCCGATTGTGGGATACTGCCAACTCGCGGACTCTCCGCCGTTGCTCTGGCCGCTGCTCATCTGTCCACCACCACAGACAGCCCGGATATTTCTAGTTCGCTCCCATGTCCGAGTTAGTGCTCGATCGTGTGCGCGCCAAGTACCTGTGCGCGTTGCTTCGTTCCCTCGCAAATCGCGATTCCCTTTTATCGAAAAGGCCACGAGTACCACCGACCCGGGGCGAATGTGAACCGGTGACAAGATGAGCGAGAGGAGAAGGACGCAACCGAGTTGGAAACGGCCCGAGGAGCAGCCCAAACTGAGGGAACAACCGATTAGGCCTAAAGAATCGATCAGGCCTAAAGAACCGATCAGGCCGCCGAGGACGAAGCAAATGCAACAGGCTCGCGACAATGGAATCGATCGCCGCGAGGATCGTGGTGCGCTTCAAATTGTATTGCGCGAAAGCAGTTTAAATAGCAAATCCAGTCAGGCGGAAGTTTGATTGTCGCCAGCGATCGTCTTACGTCAGAAATTTCAGGAGACGATTGGAAGGCAACGGAATTGAATTATTAAATGAATGAGGTCAATTGCGGAGTTTAAATGAGATCGGAGCTTTACGTTTCGGCTGTTGGAAAGGGCTCTGGCTGATCGTCAAAAAGCTCGCGGACGCAACGGAATCGCGATAATTCTGGCGGTCATCGACTTAAACATGAAAAATTGATCGCAATCTAATATTAGCATATGATTTAAATAGAACCAGTTATTGAGGAAATTAGATTCACATTCAATCGGGCATTTAATAATGCATGATTTCAAAGCATAGGTTCTGTATCGTCGTTAATTATAATAAAATCGTACGTGAAAGTATGAATTTACAAATGTATTATAGGAACGAATTTTTGAAAGCGATTAGAATGTCGATTCTTATGAATGCAATGGCTCAGTGGTGTAATTGGCATGTTTCCAAAAGCTTGAGAGCGCAACAGATTCGCGGCAATGAAATCGCCTATCGAGATGTAGGTCTAAAGTATATTATGGTTACTAAACACAGATTCACGATCGAACATTTTCAGAAATATATTCGGGTCGCGGGATAAACGAAAGTATTACAAAAAATAATCCGATCCCGTTGAGTAAATTTCGATATTTTATGGCGATCGTAACTTTTAGTGAAATGACTCGCCCGCAAACATGCTAAATGTGGATTCAAATGTATATTTGCAGCCGGGAAAGTACCGATGACGACCCTCGACGAGAACGTGAACCGTGTCCCACGGATGCATCCAAACGAAAGAGAAGAACCGAGTGAGTTTTTCTTCAATTCATTTCCGAGCGAGCGTCTCGCGTTGCTCTTCTGTCAGCTTATAATAATAGCCGATGATCGCACATTGTATCTCATGCTTGATGCATTAATTGCTGACAGAGAATCAAAAGAAGAATTAGATATTTGTCAGAATTCTTCAGCATTTCCGGTGCATAAACGATTTTGTTCTCATGAACAAACACATACCCAAGTAAATTATTCGTTTTTGTTAATTTGACGAGGTCTCTATCTGCATACAGAATGTCACCTCAGACACGCAAACGCGTGACGAAGAGAGAAAATATCAGTGTGCAACGTCCACGTGTTAGCTACGTAATCATCGCAATGATTTACAGTTTTTTCGTTAAGAATATTTATAAATCCGCATTTTCATGCTTCTTCGTAGATAGTAAGCCGTCCTTGTTCGAACATGACGTTCGTTCCTGGTCTTCTTCGGGACGGATTGAACAAAGCTTTAGTAGGAGCTGTTTTCAGTTTTTTATTTCTTAGTTGTTTCATCAGTTTTAAATGCTCTCTAAAAATATTGAAAACCGTAACTCGTTTGCTTTAAAATGAGTGCAGCGTACCTTTTGGCACACTTTTTTTTGGAAAGCTACCCGTGTAAACATGTCGAGGAGCCGCGTTTTCTCACTAGGCCAATTGCATTAGTCGACAGCTCGTTTTCAGAATTTCCTTCTTCTTTTCAATTCCACTCACGGCTCTCGACATGTCTGTTAATTAAATTCTCGTATTTCGTTTTTCGCGACGCGCGGGGGAAACGAGAGAGCCGCCTACCTCGTTCCAGATGAGAAAATCGACGCCCTGTATTCGCGAATTTAATGCAGTAAATGGTTCGTGTAAACGCGAGATTGCAAGGCACCGATGCGGCGGCTGTGGATGGCAGTCGTCGTTGTCGCGTATTTCGTTTGGCGACGACGTCGACGACGATGACGAGGTACTGGCGTAAAAGCAGAAGACGGTGGAGAGGCGAGGCAGTGGAATTAGCGTTCACGCGAGTATAATTGCCCGTTCGCTCGCAATAAGTGTAATCGCTCGGGGCTCCTTCCGAGACGTTCCGTCACGTAAAATTGAAACGCTCTCCGGCTCGTACGAACTTGCCTTTCAAACTCGTTTTCCTTTTCGTGTTACTCCTACCTCCACGATTTACAGAATAATATTCGCCTCTTTGTTTCTGCATCTTTTATACAAATTAACTTAAGTGTTTCGTAACATAAGTTGTCTAGCTTTATTTACTTACTACATAAGCTTCTTTGTAGAATTTTATGTAATTAAGAAATCTGAAGAATTCTGATTACCAAAAAAGCATAATTGTTTGCTGTGAACCACAAGTTTCTGGTCGAGGTGCTAGCTGGAATTCGCGTGGTCGTTTCGCGCTAACATGAACGCGAACACAGTCATTCATCAATTATAAAAACAACTTGGAAGTCGAGTCGTGAGAAATTTCCATGTACATGTATACCTTGCAATCTAACGGCACTCACGAGCCATGGAAACTATGCGGGAAAACGAAAGTATACGGTACTCTCATAGCAGTTACCAGTTCACGCGTTACGTTAACACCTCAGAACAGAAGGACTTGTTTCTTCCTTCACATGTAATATGATTCTTAAAGGGAATCCTTTAAAACGAAGTTCCTTGTGACTCGTCAGACGAAATCTAGTCTCATGATTTTACGGCTACTGTATTGCGTAATTAGAATGTCTACTAAGTTGAACACAGCATCTGTGATAAGAAGTTGCCATTAAATTTTAATATTCTGTCATTTAAGCCAATTTATATCCGTCTGTTGGTATCGTTATAAATCACTGGCAAGCTCTTTGTTCGACTTTTTCCAAATTGAAGTGTTCGCGTTTGAATCGGATCACGTGGCACGGGTCAGCGTGTTACACGCGTAAGCAACAGCAATTATAGTCACAAATGGTTTATTTTCTTGCCGTGTGTAATAAATTACACCTACTCACGTCACTTCGTGTGTCGGAATGGTGTGTCGTGTCAAGTCTCTCAACCGTTGCATTCGCTTCCTTCTTATCTATAGTTAACATTAAAAATAGCGGCCACTCAAAGCCTTACGTGGTGCGTTCTTCCATTATTCTTGATTCCTGCCGGTCTTCGTGCTTGTTTAATAAAATATTATTAAGTAAGTACGTTTCTTTAATGTTGCGCATCACTAGATCAATTGGGTTGGCAAAAGAGGATAGAAGATCTTTCAATGGACAGTCAGGATATCTCGGAGAACAATGAATCAGATTTAGGCCGACCGGTACAAATTGTGCTTGCTCATCCAGACCACACTTTCGAGTTGAACGAGGAAGCGTTGGCGAAAATTCTCCTTCAGGATGACATTAAAAATAGGAGCGCAGTCGTTGTGTCGGTTGCAGGCGCTTTCAGAAAAGGGAAAAGCTTCCTGCTCGACTTTTTCTTGCGTTACATGAATTGTAAGGTACGTCCCTCCTTAAAAACGAAACATCCAAACGACATTGAAGAAGAGGAGAAACAAAATCAGTTCTTTTCTTTATTTCTTTCATGTTCACGCTGGATACGCAACTGACGTTCACAACAGTATAATAACAATAATCAAACAGATTCTTGGTTGGGTCAAGATGACGAGCCTCTCAGCGGATTTTCGTGGAAAGGAGGCTCGGAAAGAGATACGACCGGCATATTAATGTGGTCGAAAGTTTTCCGCGGCACATTGCCGGACGGTGAAAAAGTTGCTGTGATCTTGATCGACACACAAGGTGCTTTCGATAGTCAGTCAACGGTGAAGGACTGCGCGACCGTGTTCGCGCTGAGCACGATGCTGTCGTCTGTACAGATTTACAATCTCTCGCAAAATATCCAAGAGGATGATCTTCAGCATTTGCAACTCTTCACGGAATATGGTAGGCTGGCGTTGCAGAAGTCCGGTCGGAAACCGTTTCAAAAGTTACAATTCTTGGTGAGGGATTGGAGTTATCCTTACGAAGCGCCGTACGGTTCAGAGGGCGGAGAGAAAATATTGAACAGGAGACTGCAGATCTCCGACAAGCAGCATCCGGAGTTACAGAGCCTGAGGAAACACATCAAGTCTTGTTTCTCGGACATATCCTGTTTTCTCATGCCGCATCCGGGCCTGAACATCGCCACTAATCCACACTTCGATGGCAGATTAGCGGAAATTCAATCCGACTTCAAGGAGCAGCTCAAGGTGCTAATACCGATGCTATTAGCCCCGGAGAATTTAGTTACGAAAAAGATCGATGGTCAAATCGTAAAAGCCGGGGATCTGTTAGAATATTTTAAGAGCTACATGAAAATTTATAGGGGAAACGAGCTTCCCGAACCGAAGAGCATGTTAGTGGTCAGTATTGACGCTTGTTCAATTTGATGATCGTGCACCTGATGATCGATCAGATTTCTTACGTATTTGAATATATCACTTTTAGGCAACAGCGGAGGCCAATAATTTAGCCGCGGTCACAGAGGCCAGGGAATGTTATATGCGATTAATGGAGGAAATTTGCGGTCAGAAGAAACCATACTTGTCAACGGCACGGTTGGAGAACGAGCACACGCGTTGCGCGGAGAAAGCTACCGCTCTGTTTAGAAATAAGAGAAAGATGGGAGGCGATGCATTTAGTAAAACTTACATGTTAAAATTATGGGAGGTAAGCAATTATTCAAAATTCGATTTATTTGACGGATTAATTCATACTAAATTGATCACGTACAAAATTTTATTTACAGGATATAGAAAATGGTTTTGTTCATTTCAAAGTGCAGAACGAAAGTAAGAATGCATTCAAATCGACACGAACTGCAGCTGTTTATTGCGTGATCGTAGCCATTATGTACTTTTTATCCACAATATTTGGATTCGTTGGATTATACGTGGTAGCAAATATTTGTAACTTCGTCGTATGCATCTGTATAATAACACTTATCACATTGGCATACATCAGGTACGTAAAGCTGTTTTAATAATATCGTTTGGAATTTTAATTTACTGACTATTATTTTCTATAATACAGGTACAGTGGTACTTACGACTCACTCGGAGAGACAATAGATGATGTGGCCAATACTTTGTGGAATAATGTAAGTAGTATACATTTAATTACTTCTGTATAGACATAAGTATTTGGATTCCTTACATGAGCTGTTTAATGTTAGTAACAAACGTCTGTAAGACTCTGATAATCGTTATTTAATTTACTCATTAATAAAACTAATATCACATTTCAAAATGACAAGGAATAATTTATCTATTTATGCAATTATGCCCAAGTCTCCAAGTGCACAATTTTTATGATTTATGTGTATCACACAACTGCATCATACGAATAGAAATTAATACAAATTCTTTTTACAGTTTTTTAAAACACATGCAACTGAAAAACTTTCTGTGTTCAAAATCTTACATAAAACGTTACATGCTAAAATCATAGGTATTTCCTAATGGTATTACGTGTAGCACGAAATTATTAACTGGATGATGTAAATAATTGCTGTTCGCTAACTGACCGTATTTCCTGATTTATATCTATTGCATATGATTTCTACAGGTCGGACGTGCGAGTGTACTATTCTCTGTACTTATACTTGCTGCGGTTGCTGCTTCACCATCGTTTAAATTCTTATATATCATTTTTACACCTGGTCCAGATTCTCCTGCTTGCTTTTACTTAAAATCCGAGGAGATCACAGCCTTTTATAAATATTTGTATTCCTTGAAGGACTCTTTTTTTTCCGTTGTTTACAAATTCTTCGACGATTGTACTTCTACTTTATATAAGTACTATCCCGTGGTCTCAGAATACTTGCACGACTATTTAACCATGACTGTCCATAATATATCTAAGTTGTACAATTCTTACTTAAACCACTAACATACTAATAACTACTAATTTAGCTCCCGTCTTCTCAAAATATTTTTATTACTCGTAAAGCATTTTTGATGACGTTCCAAAGTTACGTGATTTCAATCTAGCTACTCTGCTCTTACGGAATATTTATATTACTTAAGAGAAAATACTTTCTACGGTTTTTCTATATTATATGATTCCTATGCCTGCTCTTTTCTTTTTCTGAATACTTAGAATTACGTTCTTACAAATATTTTTTAAATATACTACTAAGCACTGTCTGGATTACTATGAATCGTCCTGTACGTAGCCGAACTTTCTTAGAATTATTTCTGCATATCCCTTTTTTATACGTAAATTCTCTACCTGATTATTACACTCTTCTTTTATATAAATGAAGCCTTTAATATTATGTTAATATTTTTTTCATCCTTAATGTAAGCTGAATACTAACAGGAGCACTTGTACAAAAGGTATGGCGTTTGCTTATAATTAATCTAGAAATAACGTTAATATCTTACTGCTTAGATTTTGATCTCAGAAAATGATTATTCCTTCGTATATGTAAATCCGTGTTTTACTAAGAACAATATATAGTCAAAAAACCAATGAGGACTAACTTGTATCATCAAACATCATACTGTTTGCACTTATAAATCATAATATAATATAATATATATATCTGTCTATAATAATTTTACGAATCAGCGCTACTTTATCCTGACTAAGCTATTAATGACATTTTATTTTTTATCTTTCTGTTCAGTTAATGAAACCGATCTACCAACAGTTTGTGGAAAAGTCAGTGTCCGTGGCAGTAGCTCAAGCTGCTGAAATGGCTGCAAATTCAACAATGAATGCCACTGTCACTGCCAATGGCAAGCCTAAATTATCATGATGGTCGTTCCCTTTGTGTCCCAATTTCTCAAGTGCATTAGAACCGTACGTCAGTGTATTAAAACCAGTAAGTGACATAATAAAAATTAATCATTTTGACCATGTAATATGAGGCCATAAATAGCTTTTCATTTGTTAAGTCACGTGGAAGAACAGTTAATGTGCTGTCGCGCATATTAATTGGTAAGAAATGTTTCACTGTAATTTCTAAACAATAAACTAACTGAAATGTAAATTATTGTGAATGAAAATAAAAAATACATATTTTTTTATTAACAAAATGATACGTCCTCTGATAATCCCCAAAATTCATGCCTTAAACATTCTCCTTATCATATCATCACATTTCTTATTTGCTTCTTGACATTTAGCATCATATATTAAATATTGCTGCTTTATCGTTGGGTTGTGTGGTTCTAAATTAAATGCATTTCTTAGATCCAAAAAGGCCCTTTCTATGTTTTTTAAGTTCCCATATGCTACACCTCTTCTATATAATGCTTTAACATTATTAATTTCTTTATCTAAGACTTTAGTGCATAGAGACACTGTATATTCATAGTTTTTTCGTTTCAAATGACACCCAGCCATATTATTATACAATTGAAGCCTTAAGTTGTTGATATCGTTTTCTAATTTCTTATCCAATTCCAAATCGGCTATTGGTTCTAGTGTTATAAGAATTTTACAGGCTTTGCTAAATCTATAAAATGCATCAACCCACCTTTGTTCTTTGAATAACTGGACTCCAGTCTCTTTATATCTAGAAGCTATCTGATACTTCTCTTCTGGTGTCCATTCCCAAATTGGCTTATGAGGTTCTATGTGGTTCATTGTTATTTGAGCTTTGATGATTGAATGCTTATCTATGTCTTCTGATGGCACACGAATCGTAATTAAGCTTTTTTCTAAAACCAGCATCATTTGAAGAGCTCTCTCAATTTGTCGATCAATTTCATTATCTGCTTCACCTATTATTAAACTTTTCTCATTCAAACCATCAAGTACGTTTGAATTCAACTTTTCGTTTTTGTCTTGTGTCGATCTATTGTCGACTTCTATATTTTCAATAATTATATTGCATCTGGCACATTCAGTCGCTGTTTTAGAAAATATACCTGGTTTAATAATATCCTTTCTTACAACTTTATCTGCAGACTCCCACGTGAGTAGTAACATTTTTAGACAATGTTTATTTTACATTAAGCATGTATAAAGTAACATAAATGTTAACCTGTACAAAGTGACATATATCAATATGCCAATTGGTTTTAATACACTTACATAATATTTCACGCGTATATTACGTATGAATACATATTGAAAATATACATACGCCTTTATATTGAATTTATACTATTGAACGCATGATAAACGACAATGACAGTATCAGACAGTATTGTATACTTCGTTGCAAACTTACATACGACACAACGACACAACACACATCCATACATCAGTGTAAGGATTAAGGATCAGTATCAGTGTTGGAATTTTCTCGAGCATGCGCGGCCATTTCAGCATCAGTAACATACAATTTTCAATAAAATGAAGAGATCGCCCTGCATAATTTTGCGAAAATGATTACAAATTGTACGTGGAATATAACTTTAATTAAAGAGCAATACTTTTCTCGATGGAAATCATATTTCAGAATAATCATTCATGATACGTCATGTATGATGAAAATTTGACGCGCTTGCCCCGTTCTGCGCAGTGTACGGAGTGACGTAGTGCATTATGGTTCTGGCGGCTCGTAATACGTAATTTTGTTTCCTTAATTTCGAATTGAATTAATATTAGGAGTGTAAAATAATTTTTGGTCGTGTCATCAATCGTAACAACCTGCAATACATGTGAAAATAATACGAGATTAATCTTGTGCGTAACTTGCGTTACTCATTCTCTTACGACAAAGTGTGTATTACCGCGTAGAAGATTCGAATTTAACAATGGCGTCATTTGAGTTGCTTCGGCCGCGTTAGATTGAATCCTTTTACGTTTTATCTGGGCAGTAGAACGTTTTCTATGTGTAATTCGTGTATTTGTAGTTACGAACTTCGTATAATATGTTATAAATTATTAGTTTACGGTTTGATCAATGAAATATACCCCGAAGTAAGAACAGAATGGTCGGAGTAGAACATCGGAATCGAAGTCTGAGCTACAGTATTTGGAAAACCCAATCGGTGAGTTATTCCCTTTATTTTACTCAATTTCTGCGAATATTTCGTTTCTTAATGTTAAGAATTGTAATATATATGAAGATGAAACGTTCTCCGAATATTTGACATTGTAATCCAACTTCGTACGGTATCATGTATAGTTAGTATAAAATGTTTATGATATTTTCTCCAAAGTTAGGTATAAATAATATTATATTAAAGGTTTTACACATTTACGTGTATTTACATTGGTCTATTAATTTACACATTATGCAATTTAGTCCATTTTTCACTAACTGCCCAGAGCCATTTTGCAACTTGATCATTTTTTGCTTCTTCAGAAACATCTGACACTTCAGTCTTGCTATAATAAGAATGATAAATGTTACACTTATTATTACTCGATCGAATGTACTAAAACTTACTCGAGATAGACACCAGACACATCGTTTAAAGATGTGTCTACAGCAGCGAATATAACAGGCTGTGCTCCTTTTCTCGGAGTTTTAATAAATAGCCAAGTCGCTGCGTTCACGAACCATCTCCCAATAGTGTTTTTATAAATTCCCAAGTGTCGCACAATTTCTGTTCGTACTATGCCTGGATGCACAGCATTCACTGTGACACCAGTTCCTAAAGGTACATATAAGAATTTAGTATTTGGAGGATATTTATCATTCAAACGAAAAGTTCTATTTTACCTTTTAATCTATCTGCTAGTTCCCTTGTGAATAAAATGTTAGCCAGTTTACTTTGGGCATATGCTGCACCAGGCTCGTAATTTTTGTCACTGTTCAAATCTTCTAACTGAATTTTACCACCCTTGTGAGCTGTACTCGACACATTTACAATCCTTGATGGTGCACTGCCTTTTAAAACATCTAATAATAAATTTGTTAGTAGAAAATGTCCCATATGATTTACTCCAAGTTGCAATTCAATTCCTTCTTTGGTGTAACTCTTTGGACATCTCATTACTCCGGCATTATTTACAAGAATGTGAAGCTTGTTGTTTTCTGTAGGTGATAGGACAAAATTTAGTTGAACGTATTTCTGAACTCTATCTTATGTTCCATTATAGAAGATGTTATATTGTACATATACGTGTTATATTGTATGTATACCTTCCTTGAATTGTTTTACAAATTCTCTGACACTTTCTTGAGATGCCAAATCACATTTCCTACAATAGACATATTTATTCTGACTCTGTTTGACGATTTCAGTGCGTGCCTAGATGGAAAAATGATCATTAATTTATTGATAGATATTCTGTATAAAATATTAAGTATGATATCAATACATTTTCACATTTGTCCATATCTCTGCAAGCCATTGTAACTCTGGCCTTTCGCATGGCTAAGTCACGAGCTACTTCTCTGCCAATTCCGCAATTTGCTCCAGTTACAATAACTATCTTGTCAGTCAATTTCTCTTTATTTTCATACATATTTCCACCTATGTAATCTCTGTAAATAATAAAATCTTTAAGAACAATGGTAAGAATTAAAACGTACTTGTACCAAGTATTTACTATTACATACCAAAGGTACAGAAACTTTGAATATTATGTCAAATATAGAAGATAAGATTTTTATTAAAAGATTTAAATAAAAGTACCTCAATAAGTATCCTCCACCAATGATGGTTATACCAGCTGAATACCAATAAAAAGGTTTCGGGAGCCGCATTTTCGTGAATATAACAAGGACCCAACAGTTTATGAAAAATATTTAATACAGAACAACTGTTAACTTTATTTAAACTATTTCTTTACTTAATTTATTAAAGCACGTGCATACTTCACGAGAAAATGTAAACATTAAAGGAGATTTTACAATTTCATCTGAGCATGTTTCACCAGAGAGGAAATTTCCTCTCTGGTTTCACTAAATTTCTTATGTAATTATAGTACGTTGATTGAATTTTTAATCGGATCTGTTTAGGCAATTGCATGGTAATTCGATTTCAAGGATTCTTTTATAAAAACGTTTTACATAACGTTTAGATATAAAATAACGTTTTACATGAAAATGCCGTGAAACCTCTGGTATGAAAGCGAATGGCCTTATCATTCTTCGATCTCGCGTTGTGTTTTGCGTTCGACTACCATACCGACATATAATAAATGAATAAGAATGATCCAAACGTTCATTGTTGAAAGATTGACAAAATATAAGATTCAGAGATTGTAATTGTTCACATTTTTGGTAACGATGCTCGGAAAGGAAGCTAAATATGTTTTCTCTCTGCCATGCACTGTTTCATTTCCAAAGCACAGAAAGCAAGTTATATGTCGTTGAATCTTTGCACTTCCCTAAGTCAGACAGATGTAATCAAAGGATTTTTTCACTTAATCTTCATTCTTTATTTTCTCAATTCCTCTTCTGTTCAATCGATACAACGTTCCGAAAATTAGATAATAAACTCGGAGTCAAATAAAAATATGCAATACATTTTATTAGAAGCAAAAAGAAAGAATTCTCAGAGAACTCATACATTCATCTATTTGGTCGTCAATTCATATGCTACAAGAATCTTAATTTTTAAAGCAGACGTATCAAATGACGAAAGCTAACATTAGCTAACGTAAACATTTTCTATTAAAGTGAAATACCACGTTCGTATATCAAACCGACGCAGGTCCCTAGAAAACATCGTAATTATGTCAAACCAGAAATTGCGGAAGCCCCGAGTCACTCGGGGCGAGTGCGCGTTTGTTACGGCACGAGTAACCGCTCTGGAAACGTGCATATATTCTTCTCAAAAGCTGTGTCCATAATGTAACAAGCTGTCGGCACGCGGTAAAGAGAAGGTCCATCCTCGAGCTTACAACTAAACAACAACGCGAGATTATCGATCAACGATAGGTAAACATTCGTGGCATGGTCGCGGGAACCAAGCCACTTAGCGTATGTTTGTTTAGTATCTTTTACGGCTATATCGCTGCCGGGCATGCGGTAGGTTACGGCTACGGGGAAGTAGCCAGCGTCTGGCGCACGGCTGAGGGTTGGGTGACGCGGCGCCGCGCTTCGAGAGGGTCATTTATAACTGTTATCGCGAGACTTACTAGCCCACTTACTATAGTTACTATATCCTCTGCCGTGTCTATCCTCCACCCTCTCCTCAATCCCATCCGGAAGAAACGTGGAAGCGCGAGACGCGCCAGCTCACCGAACCTGCTGGTCATTCTGTCACGGTTTTTTGTATTCGGTTCTACTGTATCGCGCCAAAAGCCAACCCTTTGAGTAACTACGACCTCTCTCGAATCGATGGATTTTTCGGAGTACCGCGTTTCATCAGCGGTACGGCTCTCAAAAAGAGAGAAGTGCAGGTTTTTGTTCTTATCTCTTTGGTAATCATTCACACGTAATTATAATTAATTCCTCTGAATCGTTTGAATATTTCGATGATCTTACCGGGGGAAACAAAATGGACTTGAAGTTCCTGTTCTTAATTATATCGAATCGTTAAACCTGTTAGTAGGGAAACTATGAGAAAGTGGAGGAAGTTATTTCACGTAAAACGTATAATTGTCGCTGGGCCAATTACAATCCTGTTTTCATTAGCTTTGGGGCCTGTAACTGTAATAGTTGTACACACTAGGTCCTAATCCTTTGTTCTCGCAAAGCCACTTTGAGCACCGAACTGACTGAACTGAATGCGAACTTTGGGCGCACACTGTTTACGACTGGTAATATGCTAACATTACATAAATCTGCGCGATAACTATGAGTAAACTTTCATCTGTAATGCTATAACTAGGTTTAATTGTGTACATGCTTCCTCCTTGTACCCTGTAAGGAATATTCCTTTATATCCTTGTTCACCCAAGTATTATTGCAACACGCTTTTAGATATTTATCAGAAATATTGTTACCGATGCTAGAACTATTACTTAACTTATATGTGTGGAGCTGTAAATCTGCGATAAGGATCTTCTGTACTGGTTGTGAGATGGTTCGTGTTTGCCGAACAAACGCGGGATCGTCGATATCATGTTCCACAGATCATAGCGTTCAGAGGTTTGAAACAGGGTTTTATTTATTACAGAGGGTGCGGTCAGGGGAACACGTCGCGGCATCGGTGTTACAACCGATAGCTCGTCGTTATCGGGGACATTTCTCATCATCGTTTTTGCCCGCCGTTTCGGAGCACGGAGCACTTAATCCTAATATGGAAATATGTCGTGCCATCCGCAAGCCGGCGATTAATGTGAATAAATCGATTTCTGGCGTAAGTGTACGATGGTTGCCGCCAAATCCTGAAGCCACGCCAAGTGGCAGAAACACGGGAATTCCATCTGGATTTACTAAGATCAGTGCCATTTAATGTGCAGCTCGATAAATCCCTTAAAAGCTGGCGGTCCGCAAGAAGACGGCGCATTACAATTTTCCACGGAGGAATGAGGAACGGCGCGACGCGACGCGGAACGTCTAGAGGAGGACGCGGAGGACAAATCTGCAAATGCGAGGCTTCAGGTGCCAAATGCTTTCATCGTATAACGTGAGTAACGGCCCACCTTATTTGCTGTTCTACATCGATCGCAATCTATGCGAATCGCGGGTACTATTCAAGAAGCGGAAAAACTTTATGAACGTGTTCCATTGAAACTGTTCGAAAATAGACCTTTCACAAAATTGATCCAATCGATTTTAATACGCGCGTTTGTACGTTTCGATGGGCATGTTAGCATCGAGCAAGTTGAACGCGATTCGGTAAATTCCCGATTCGCAATTTCATGATTACATTCAGTATCTAAATTTACTTCTCTAAAAAATGAAGTATATATCGTTCCTTTGAGTTATGGATTATTAACAATTTATAGAGCAACAAGAAGCTAAATATTGTATTTAAATAACTAGTGAAGCTCGGAGATTTAAATATGAAATTCATCTCGGTGGCTCCTGGCAAGTAGTATATCCAAGTTTTAGTCAGACTAAGTAAGCCAACGTGTTAAACTTGTTCCACTTGCTCGAAACATGTATAACATTCAATGGAACGCTGTTATCTCGATATCAGGAGGATTACTCCTGTAGACAACTCGTATATGATATATTTTTTGTTTGTGTTATCGTACCGAAACTCGGACGATCTCTGAATCGAGACGAGTTAAGATGGTACTTATCCGCAGTGGTCGCTGTTGCGCAGCAACGTTAGCTAAACGTTGTTGCTTGCTTATGATTTCCATAATTCCGCACACTTCGTCTGTGGCAGGCTCTAAAGAGCCAATATCGGGCAAAGTAGGTGTGTACTTTAATTACTAGAGATAATTACGTCGTCACCGGCTTCACTGAGGGATGGAGGTTTACTATGATAACAGAGTATCCAATATCCTGGTGAGTTACGTACCGGGGCACGACACAACCCTCGTGCATATGTATTCCGCACGTACGCACCCTCCCCCCTAGATGTATTTACTATCATATGCACGCCAGTGCATGCCAAACGCTCGCGTTTGACCTCCATCCGTTATTAATATAATTATCTTCCCAGTTATTGTCTTACAGTTGCTGCATTTAATTGCGCACGTACAAAAATCGAGTTTCATCTATAATTTTATAGAAATTAACACAGTTTTTATCAGATTTTTCCATTAGAATCGCGAAAACCGTTTCTGTACGTCTTTACATCGGGCAAGGTTAACTGACGTAGTTAATAATCGTAGTAACTCATTCCATGAATTCGCATACATCATAAATTGACTTCAACACGTAATTACCGCAACGTGATAGCGTTGACAGGCGGGTGGATGATCGGTCGCAGGGGAGGAATAGGGTGGCGAGTAAGAATGCGCCGGGCATTTTCGGGCTGATATGCGGACGAGGTCGCACCACGTATTCACGTATGCAACGATAGGACGAGAGCCACGCCACCGAGGGGGGTGGCACGTCGGAATAATTTATTTAGCTCGAGCAATGTAATAATGGTGGGGTTGCGCCGAGTGCAAACTGCAGAACCCGTTCATTACTACTTTAGTCGAAAGTGTATGGCGTGGACAAACCAGTAGGGCGACAGGGGGTTGCACAGGGTAGCGCTTCGAGGCGCTATACACAGTGTCCCGTGTTTACAGAATTTTATATTGCAACGAAAGAATTTAATTCTACATTCCGTCTCATTTTATTTAAACAACATAACGATGTATTTCGTTTTTTAATGTCTGTAAACTGTGTCAGTATTTCATTATTTCATTAAATGTTCGTACATATAGAACGCGTAGGGGAAATTAAATACGAAATTTGCATCGACATTTTTTATTGCTTGGGTATTAAAAATTGCGTCGGTATCTAAAATATTACCACCCTTTATACAAGGTGGTTAACATCGGCGAGATATTAGTTAGGTACGCTGGACAGCCTTCGAACGGTGTGAACCATAATTTCCGATTCCTGTTAACTGTGTTCAATTATTCTTATTGCCACGGGGGCAATTCTTTAGCTCTTACGTATCTCGAGTAACTTTTCTTTTAAAATTAGAGTCTTGCGCAAGCTTTAATGCTTGTCGCACCCTTTCACGTTGACCAGCTACCGATCAATTTATTTTTTGCGGGGATTAGTATCCGTCGTTGAGACACCGCTCATTTCTTCGCTCTACTGAAAGATATTTTTAATCGCTAAGCGATTGCTTCCTCGAGATCGATTTTCTGACATTTTACGTAAGCTTCTTATCTGCGGAGAATGATATTGATACGTTCCGGACGTGACGTCTAGATTACATTGATCCTTTAGTTTCCAGACGGAAATCAAAATTAATATTCAGGAACGTGGCGATCCTGTCGTAGATTAATTACGGTTTGCGATTATTATTCGTTTATTACAGAGATTAAATTCGCGTGATGAAGCGGTATCATCGAGAAGGATTTTACTTATGCAACGCGTAGTCCGTAAACGTAAAACACGTTGCCGTTCCCCTCGCAATTTTCGCCGACGAATAAACGTTCATAAATTCGACTAAATTAAAAAGGCGAGCATAACAGAGAAATTTCAACGGGAGAG